CTCTCTCTCTCTAAGTGCCATATCGTTTGACTTTGGCGATCATGCTGTTCCACAACCGTCGGCTCCTAGCCTTCTGTATTAGTACCACTCCCAGTTCTTTCACTCCTCTCTCTTCCAACAATTTCTGCAGACTGTCCATCCAAAGTATCCTCCTTCTTCCCACAATTTTCCCTGTCAAAGCAAGGTTCTCTAGGCCTTCTTTACGTGTAATGTGACCCATGAACTTCAACTGCCTAATCAACATCTCACGTATCATTTTCCTTTGCACTCCAGCTCGTGTAAGAACTTCCTCATTACTAACTTTGTCAGTCCAGGGGATTTTCATCATTCTTCTTAAAAACCAAATTTCGCAACTTTCCAAACGCTTTTTAGTATCAGAGGCTAAAATCCGTGTTTCACTACCATACATAAGTAAAGTAAAACATAATACAATATTATAAATATGTTAAATTACACTCAGTACATTAAAAATATAATAACATAATGTAATAAGAAAATAAAATAAGAATAGTAAAACATTATACAATATTATAATATGCTAAATTACACTCAGTACATTAAAAATATAATAACAATCATAATGTAATAAGAAAATAAAATAAGAACAGTAAAACATAATACGATATTATAAATATGTTAAATTACACTCAGTACATTAAAAATATAATAACATTATGTATTAAGAAAATAAAATAAGAAAAAGTAACAACAATGATAAAAGGTATGATAAGATTACTGAATATAGAAGCTTGTGTAGGTGCTATCTTATATACATATTTATGTATGGTGTGTATGTGATATAACAAATAATCTGCACGTACTGTTAAGAAACACTAACAAAGCCCATGAATGTTTTGCTTACGATATTATTTTACGATACTATCTTAAAAGATAGATAAATATAAAACGAAATAATTTTTTTTTTTTTTAAATCCAAAATTGAGAGATATAACACGTGCCGTAAAGTAATTTGGCGACAATAGTCAAATCACTGACTAATCGCCAATAACACAAAACACAACAACAACAACTGGGTACTAGTGATACATTAGTTGACATATTTGTGATTTTCTTTGAATTTCTACTTTAATAAGGGATATAATGTGCCAAGATGGACATGTTCGGTAAACCGTATACGCCATGGCTGAAAAGGATTCTCTTTACAAGTGAATTATAGGGGGTATAGCTAGGTTAGTTCAGGACCTTATCCCTGTGAATTAAATTATGTGCAAGATATAAAAAGAGAAGCTACAGAAGCGTTGGGGAATATAGTTCAATTGCAGGACCAACATCCAGAATCAAAGAAGGAGAGAAGGGTTAAAGATTTACAATACTTCCAAGTCTTGAGTTGAGAAGCAGATTTCGATATTATTGTAGGTATAACCATAGAGGCTAACTTTTGATGACATTTACATATTGTTTACAATTCTTTGTTGAAATGTCGGAACTTTTTGTCTTTGCTTACAGCAGAGACTGGTGTAAATGTTTTTGACCCAAAATAAAGTAAGGGTTTTGCTGTATGGTAAATGGCTTGTGTGTAAGTGCAATTATTTTGAACTAAGCAGAATAATACACAAAGGCAAACAAAAACTCAGACATTTCAGTTATTAAACTTTTACTGTAAACAGATTTATTACATTTTTTTCAGCTCACATTATGCTATATAGTGAATATTTTACATAGATTCCACATATACAGGTTATATGTACAGTAAGACCATTAACAAGTACATTTAAAGGAAATCAGAGAATGATAATTTTCACTTAAATAGATAGTTTTGCTCATATAACAGCATTATAGTTGAAAGTAGTAGTCAAGTGTTGTTCAAGGTCATATATTTCCTCATGTGTTTTTCTTGGTAGACCTGAATTCCGAAATGATTGCTTTTTTCCTTCAAATGGTTGTAAAGAACAGCTGTGGTGATAACTGCTCCAGATCAATAACTAAAGAGACTAATTTCCCAACCTTAACCAAACACTTTTTCTTTTCTAAAAAAAAACCAAATCACTAACCTGACCCTCTATCTTTAATGAAAGAAAGCCTCAAATTGTTGTTGGAGCAAATTTCAGTTATTTTCCGCAAACGGAAGAAAAAATTGCCTAGATTTAACATGTCTAGAAGGGCAAATCTGTGTTCACGTTCAAAACAGTGTTCTCTGTACATTCCCATTAATTATTTATTATTTAATTATTATTTATACTAAGAAGAGCCTTTAAAGGTCACTAGAACTGGTAACAGAACAACACTACAGCTACTCTGCCTGTTTTTTGTTTGAATTACTTTTGATATAATAATGCTTTGGTCATCTCGTGAGAAAAGAAATGAAGACAAAAATAGATAATAATAATTGACAACTTGTGTACCTGTAGTTTCAATCAAAAGCCAACAAAGTGAAGGCTTTCTTTCCTAAAATAATTCCAGTGATTTTATCAATTTGAGAACATTTCATTGTAAAAATAAAAATATTTGCCATATTTCAAGCAGTATAAAGCAAATTTACATCAGCATTCACCAACAAAAAGATCAATACTGTAGATAATAAGTATTGTGATAATCATAGACGCAAAAAGTGAACTGATTGTACCTTTTCCTTTTCAAATTAACTGCATAAACTGAAATTACAAATCTAACCCAACATGATTACATAATAAACGATCACAAGAATCTTTCCAATCAGTTTTAGGAGACAAAAATTAATTAAAAAGCTAAATACAAGTAATGTACATGTATATTGCACAGGACTAATTTATCTGTAACTATGCTGTACAAGAGGGACTCATTTCCTTTTTACTACACCTTTTAATAATCATTAATAATAGAGCCTAGATCAAACAAGATGCCTGATGAAAATAATAACAGTGATGTCCAATAAACTGACATTTGCACACAGCATTTCACCTTTCTGTACCCGCCTTCAAAACGCAGATTAGCGAGTATGCTAAGGTTTTTATTTGCCATAAATCTGTTTTCAGTAGTAGGGTATTTTACGAACGACATCACTACGACTGCTGTAATGTATTTCCAATTCATATTTTTACTATGTACCATGCAATCCCATGTACTTTATTTTATTTTGTTGGAAATGGAAATAAACAAAATTTTAAAAAATTGCCGCATCTTTTGGCAAAGGCTTACAGAGAGCGATTTCCGGTTCCTGTACCCGAGCATCATCACACCCGTGTCCTGCAGTTGGTAAAGCATTGTGGGACATAGCCGTCGACACTTGGGACATTGTGAGCAGCAGAGGGCAGCACACACATAAAATTTCAAGTCGTGTCAGTAGAACACCCTGTCTTTAAGTGGTTTACAGCACTGTGCGAAAGCATGGATTAAATACAAATATATTTTCAATGACAGAGCTCTATTGAGTACAATAAAATAATACTATCTGTAAATATCAAATAAAACACAAACATTAAAGGTGCCCAGATTCCCTCAATGGTGAATTTCAAATCATCACATCAAACAAAATTCAAAATGTGCGGTCGATTACATCAAGTGCCAGCATACATGATCTAATTGATAATTTGTTCATTCTACAAAACAGGCTCATGGCGGCTAAATACCAAATGCATATGTAAGCTTTTGATAAGTCACTGCATAAGGAGACGAGATATTTGAAAACAATTAAAGACAATGATGATATCATCTCCTGAGAGCCAGAAGGGTATTACTCTTAATATATTACATGGCTTACTTTGAATCATCAGGTCATCGCGTCATGTCAGGTAGGGTGGTCGCGTTACCTGACCTTTTGTGAAAGCATGCCCCTTTATAGACCAGATAACGGTTAGCACATGTCCCAAATGACCCTGACCTATCCACAGATCTTCAAAACATGAAGACGTCCCCCTTTCACTATGAATATGACTGACAAAGAAAGCGGACAAAATATACAGTTCCTCAGGTAGACAAAGAATCATCCCTTCACTGCTATTATGTACAAATGTGTAGAACAAGTGTCACATGTATATTCACCTTTTTACATAATAGCAGTGAAGGGATGTTCCTTTGTCTACCTGAGGAACTGTATATTTTGTCCGCTTTCTTTGTCGTCATGTTCATAGTGTTTGCACATTTTGAAATAATGAGTACATATCCAGTATTTTTTTCTCCGTGTATTTCACAATTTGGTCTACGATGGCCTTTATCTGCTCATGCTCAGACTGCAACCTTGAACTGGCATATTCACGAAATGACTGGGGTAATGTTTGTAAAATAAACCCCTCTCATCTAGAAATGGTCTGGTCCACTTTATTTGACACTTTGTGAAAACCCTACTACCAAAGGTCGCGACCTTAAAGTGCATCTTCGCATGAACTTCTGCTTTCATATCCAAAAAGATCACGTGTTGCCTGATGATTCGTAGTCAGCCTATCACAAAGAGTCGACGTATCCTCTGGCTCTCACCAGCGGATAAGTTGACAGACAGAAAACAACCACATATGTCCAATCAAAAGCAATGGAATTGATATGCTTTGGCCAACTGATGCGATTTGTTTTGCATAACGCCAACTGAGCTACAAAATGCAATGCATGCCAATGATTGCATAGCATACATACAAAGATGTACTGCTTTGTATTTAAGTTACAGAAACATATGAAATATACATAAACAAATAATGTGCACAAAGAAGGGTAAATACTGATCAGAAAGTGACAGGAGGGCCCTAATAAGAAACCTAACAGTACCTCATCTGTGAATGTAACGAGTTAATCCAATAAAAGGACCAAATCAATTTGAATCGTTACCTAGTTCTTAAATTGTTACCTAGTTCTTATATTGTTACCTTACCTTGTTATCTTATGTTTCATAATTTCACTTTATATTTGTTTTCTTGTCATTACTCTGTTTTATAGTTTTAATTGTATCAATATTGTAAAGCGCTTTGATATAAATGTCTTATGAAAAGCGCTATATAAGTAAAAGTTATTATTATTATTATTATTATTAAATGATCTAAAATTTTACCACACAAGGCCAAAATAGTAAGATACATTTATAATTCATAATAATCTGAAGTTACTTCATTTAGTTCTCTGCCAATTGACACAAATGTACCTAATTTATAAAACTGGACCTTGTACACACAAACATTTATATTTGAAGAAGCAAGTAACATTTAGACTCAACAAAGAACTATGTAAAAGTAAATGAAATGTAAAAACGTATTAGTTAGTCTTAGGTAGTTTTCCAAAAAGGGCTGCAGCCTTCAGTCACTACCCAAGTCGATAATAATTTGCCTATTTTCATTCACATGATATTTTTTTCGGTTGTCCAACTTGTAGCTTCGTTCAGCACACATTTTGTTTTAATAAAGAATTACCAGTATGCACAAACTACTCTCTGGCTGAAACAGTTCCCTTGTGAATAGAATATTCTAATGACATATGATATAAGTCAGTTTCTGTAGGCTTGGAACTCCTGAGATTGGACGACTGGATGAACACATGCATGAATGTAAGGAAGATTAAAGCGAAAGTCAACATCCCATATTCTCACTTTGCGCCAAGGTTTAAGCGCAGCCTCGGTTCAGATAACACCAGTTTATGGGGGGATAAATGTCAAATTCGTCATTCTTGTCATATTCACAAAGGCTACCTTACTTTACGCCAGGTTTGAAGCCAGCTCCAGTGCATAGATTTAGTTCACCAGTTTACGGGGTGCCAAATGTCACACTCGTCATTCTGTACAAATCAACTTAATCAAAATACAAAAATGTGTAACTTTGAAATTACTTATCATTTTCACCTCATGACCAAATTAATTTTTTTTTAAATTTTGTAACATAATAGGATAATTTATATGGAACTTATGGCCTGGGTCTGAATTGGACCTTCCATATATCAGTAGACAAATTTGTAAGGACGCTGTGTGGCGCAATCGGATTATCCTCTGGCTCTCGTGACTATTGTCATGTGCGTGGGTTCGAGTCTCGTGTTGAGGAGAATAAAATGCAAAAATTGTTTGTCTCCGTAAAGTCTTGAACTGAGCATTTTATCACAGCTATGCCCCTTCCCAAATAAAAAAATTTAAAAAACTCTTTTGCTTGCTGTCACACATACAACATTCTCACCACAACTGAACCAGATACAATGCAAGCCAGATATCAGGGCAACGTTTCATGAAACCACCATCGGTACAAGTTCACCGACATCCTACTGAAACACCTGCTAGTTGGAACACAACCTTTCATTGGGATGTTGGCAAACTTGTCCCAAGGGTTTTGTGAAACACTGCCCTGGCTTCTTCTTGACACCAATTAAAAACATCCTTTAAAAAAATAAAATAATGATAATAATAGTCCTTTTTGAACTGGCTAGTGATGGTGTCCCATGGCTAATACAAGGGGTGCCAGGCAACCGATAACGAGCGCCGCTAATTCCCCACATGTGAAGCCTTGCCTGATGTCTACCGCCCCCTCTGGGTCTGTAGCAGGGGCGCTGGATTGGCGAGGCGCTTGTATCTCTGGTAATACATGTACTGTGGCTACGTAGAGGAAGGTACCCGCTGAGAATAGCATAGATAGGCCTGTTGCATTGACAGATAATAACGCCTCTTTACTAGCCTGTGGGTGATAAATGATCAATAAAAGGAAACAGACATTTAATGAATGTACAACCAAAAATGTTTGTAGATTCTTAGAATTACTGATAAACACAGGAGTAACAAAATCTGTCAAATTATAATCAATAATGATAATTTGAATACTGGATACCTGATTGAACCCCAAACATGCAGAATATAAAAAGTTTTAAAAAGTGACTGATCCCCTTTAAAGAGGTATCGTGGTATAGTGTTCATTCATTTGACTATCAATCCAAAAATGGAGGGTTCAAATCCAAGCCAGTACTGCATTTTGGGAGAGAAATTAATCTATGTCTGCCACTCTCTTCCCAGGTGCAAATGGGTACCTGATTATGCCAGAGCGGTACATATTTGGCCCTTTTACTATGAACCGGGTAATAAGTTACATCGTCCGGAGCATCAAGTGGTGACGGACATGACCGCTGTACACAAAGACACAATTTGTGTTATTCTTAAGGAATGCTCATCGTAACATTAATCTATTGACTACGTATATACTACATGTACACAAAGTCTGTGCATACTTACATGACTGAGGCTAAAATATGTGAAGATAGCCATAACTGGGGCTGCTAATGAGAAGATCACCAGATGTTTTCGTATCCTATTCCTCTCGTAATTTTCGTGCAATAGGAACGTGACGAGCCCAAAAGCTGCTGGTGCCTGTCAAGAAAGAAAAATCATAATCACAATGATATGCTGGATTTGCATTACAGCTAATACATTTCTTGTCTCTGAGTGCGTTACAAAGACATCATTACACTGGTCATCAGATACAGACCTGCCTGCACACACCTTATGTACCTTCTCCACTCCCTGGGGAGCATTCCAGCCAGGTGCCTGTTTACAAATGTTCACAATACTTAAAAAACCTCAACAGCATTCCTATCCTATTGGATTTACTGGAGAAATGGTAAGGATTATAGAAATTCCTAAGCAGGTTACTTTGTTATGTACCAAAAAACAAATAAAAACTAAAACCTTTAGCATTTGAGCATTGGACTTCTTCAACAAATATTACATTTAAATGTTGTATTTAAACTTAACAGATGATCCACATTTCCCATCACTGCATAAAGTTGCACAGTGATAGCAAAAATATTTTGGTCCAATACTTGTAATATACGAATAGCAGAATAATGAAACAATGACAATGAGAGCTTACCTTATGCAACATAATAGCAACAAATACAATCATTTGAACATCGGCTCTAGATCCACTAGCTGCTGCCCCCATAGCAACGCCATCAGCTGCAAAAAGATTAAAAAAATAAAGTTAGTTACAATTTGGATTCCTAAGCTTCAGTCACCTATCCCAAATAACGACAACTAAATGCATTTGTAATTTAAGGTTTGCCTCTTCTACATGTACTTAAAGAGAATGCTGAGTTTTTATACTGTTAGAAAATACTTTGTCTGCATTCTCATTTTTTATTTGAATATAAGCAACAAAAAACATGGCGCTTTGCACATATTAGTTTATACACCTTGCAAGATTCAATTTTATGTTTGAATTTTTATTTTTCGACCACCTTGAATCATCTATTCCAATAATAAGCTTTTTTTTAATCTTAATAATAATAATAATAATATTGGATTCTTATATAGCGCACGTATCGACCTTGCAAGGTCCTCAAGGCGCTCCAACATTACCCGGCTATGCTAGGCTGCCGATTTCGACGCTCACAGCATTTTAAGGAATTCCTTCCTACCGGTACCCATTTAACACATGGGTGGAGAGTGGCAAAGGACATTAGTGCCGTGGCGGGACTCGAACCGCGGATCTTGATTTTTATCTTTATTTTTCTAATTTTTTATCTTGATTGTTACCTATTCCATTAATCATCTTTTTTTCTTGATAATCTTTTGATGGTTAAAACATGACAGCTCTCTTTATAATAAATGAGTATCCTTACCTGCAGCATGTACCACTAGACCTAGTGTAGCAGTTATGCTCTTCCCCCTTCCTATTCTACCTGTTGCTTCTTGTTCACCTGCAATGACAGGATCATCAAGACAAAGGCATGACGTATTAGGAATAGAACAGTATATATTATGATATGTACATGCACTCTGGACACCTCCCCGCACCCAACCCACAATTCTGCAGGGTTTGGGACAACCTCACCCCTCTTTCCTCTTCCACTAGATATTGGACACCTATATGTATACAACCCTGCTTGGATAACCAATGTGATACTAGGACAACTATAATTATAGATTATATATGTTCATACCATCATGTATACCATTTCCAAGCATATAAGATAACAATGTAAGTAGAACCGTAACATACAAACAGTGTATAGCAGATTTAAACAACAGGCTACAACCCCAGTCCATGCGATTCATGTCAAATGGGTTGATTTTTATATTCATAAAATTACATATATTGTGTGTAAACGATGTGATTAAGTTATAGTCAATTTCATTCAAATAAAATGCATGTATCTCTAGACTCTAATGTACAAGATTGTTGTCTTTAAAAACAAATTTCTCAAACAAGGGGGTTATTCTTTATCTCAATCAATACTTAATGCCACAATCATAACATTTAGATGCGATCTTAAAATTTCTATTTGCCCTTTCACCCGTTTCGTGCAAAGCCCTGATAATGATAGGATTTATCACAATTTCATAACTATATGGAGCTATATTTCCATGTTCCTCAAGGTGTGGACAAAGAACTGCAGTTACCCTGGCTAGCCAAGCTCCCCACAAAGTTGCTCAAGCATTCAAGGAAGTGCTTTCTAAAAGGAACCCTGTTAACTCCCCCTGGGTGGCGAGTGGCAAATGTAAATGAGAGACCTACCTGGAATCTGTGCATGCGAATGCCCATGGCCGCCTCCTATTTGATCCACCAACAGCATAAAAACAAAACCAAACACCAGAGCTATGCCAACCAGAGAGTGGAGGTCCTCGACGGACGAGTGGGCGTGGTGATGGGCGTGGTCATCTGCTTCCTGATTGGTCTCTTGCCCTACTTCCAGTTTGTTTTCTGGACCTACTAGTACTGCTCTGGCTTCGTCTTCGTGGTTGTGGGGAGCTGTGAGGGAAGAGATTTGGTAGATTTACATTCAATAGGCAATAGGCAAGGGTTCTTCAATATCTTTTAGTATTTCTTACATTTACTGCACCATTTCATCTTAATACGTTTTTTTTCTTCCAATTATTATTACATGTTTTTTTTTATTTCTTCAGTTCATTACTTTTCTTCGTTACTAAAAGTATATGTTCCTAAGATAAAATACTCCTTCATCTACATTGCAAACACTATCCTTCCCCTAAATTAAAAACAAAAACACACAGCCTGAACAGCTTCAACAGCAGAAGTACAGACAGGTGTACAACAACAGGAAGAGGATGTAAACTATTTCAATCTTTCAGGAAGACGTTAAACTTGGAGGTGTATTCCCAACCATCCTAACAGACAGGTTATCATACACTGTCTGTTCAAAGCCAGAAGGGCATTAAGTCATTGTTAAAGTATATGAGTTAACGACCTTCTGGCTCCAAACAGACAAACTTCTCATTGTTTACCCTGCAGTTCACAATATCTAAAACTAACTTTTAGATATTTCTGCAGTTCACAATATCTAAAACTAACTTTTAGATATTTTGAACTGCAGGGTAAACAGTGAGTGAGCAGTAAAAAAAAGATGGAAAGGTCTGGTGACCTTGAAATTTTGGTGAAACAGGAGGGAATGACAAGGAAGGAAGTGTTGCTGAACATAAACACTTATCTACAGAGGCTACATGACTAGACACTTATTGCTCATATAATAATAAAAAGGAGGAAATGTAAACCTCCCTATCCTCCATTCCACTGGTTAAGCATTGGAGAAGGCTGTAAGGAAGTAATACTTAAACTGCCCTGCGCATCAAATATCATGCAAGTACACTGGCTATAGTACTCTAAAATTATTATCTATATAAAATAAAAATCATTAAGTATTTGGCATCACCTGTGCCGGGGAAAGGAAAAGTGAGTGGAATCACAGTAACCCTTGGGTCTCTCTTTCCTATTTAACTGACATATGATGTGCAGGTGCACCACTATATAAACGTATCCCCTACTCTTATTTGAACAGTGCAGTGGGTTCTTAACATGCAAAGGTGGTGACTCTCCTCTACACTGGGCCTCCATTTAACACCCTATCCAAGGGACAGTGTTCTCTCATAGCCTGCATCTATGAAAGAGGGGAGGTGCATATAACGCACAATGCAGGCTTCAGTCATCGGCCTGGATTTGATTCAAACCCACAATATATGGTTCAACAGGCTTTACAGATTGAGCCAACTGGCCTCTTTGTTTGTTTGTTTGAATAATTTTTTATCGGTTTTCAAACTTCCTACATCTCTTTACAGAATCAATTACTTGAAACTGATATTTCAGATAAAGGATATCAGCGAGCCTGAACACACAGAGCAGAAGAAACAATTGGTAAGAGGTCTCATTAAATCCCTGTATCAACATGTTTGATCATGGATGGACAGTTTGTTGTTCTAAAAATTACCTGCATCTGCAAAGAGTGAGTGTATTCCTTCGGGGATGATAACAGCCAAAGATGTGCCAACGAGAAGTCCTGCCCCGATTACCGTAGTCAGTCTAGTTTTATTCTGGAAAGAACAAAGATTACGTTCAATTTTTCTATGACAGTAAAAAGAGCATTGGGGAAAAACAAAATTTAACACTTTAGTCTTTAAAGCTGCACAAAAATTAATATGTCTGTGGGTTTTTTTTATAGACAGAGTACCCGTAGTTGACAGTTGTACATTTTTAACATTTATTAACAGTCCAGTCTCCTGGGTGAAACTCTTGAAGGCTGAAGTGCTTCCCCCTAAAAATGTTTACACTACATGGAGCATAAATTGTTCACAGTACATGTCGCCTACATGTATGTACAAATATGCATGGACCTACAATGAACACAATCTGCCTTATTATATCAAAACTTATCTCCAAGCAACCAGTAAGCAGTGACCTGTGCCCTGTATTACAAAGAGTTGATATCAATCGCAACTTATTTGTGATTGATATCAATCACAACTATGTACATAAGAGATGGGAGACTGCAAACTTGTGATTGATTTAGGGACTGGATATTGATTCGGATCAATATCAACTCTTTGTAAGACAGGGCCCTGATCAGTGAATTTAACAACCAATTGTAATACATGTACATCCATATAAATCACGTCATTAGATTAAACAATCAAATGAAGAAAAAATAGAAAAAGAAGGGCATACTGGTCACTGTGTAAAAAATCCACATATTATGGAATGATAAGAAGAGGCAATTAGATGTTCGAGTCACAAGTAGGTGTACTTTTGCACTGACACGCCACTGGTCGTGCTTCAATCCATCACACCCATTGGTTTCCTCATTCCTACTCCATACTCATACTCATACTCATAGACTCTACAAATCATCATCATGATACAAGGAGAGGTTGATCCTGTAATCCTCGGTCACTTCTTCACTCTTCAGAGTAAATTATAGTCTCTGAACGATAGGGAATCAATCAATCCTTTGATGTAATTTGCACATGCGTCGGGTAGAGATCGGTTTTAAAAATATAGGGCCTACTCTAGTCTGTAGACAACATTTCGAAGTGAAGATGCATACTGAAGTCAGCAACTAGTAACGGACTTACAGTTAAATCTACATGTTAATACAATAAGTAAACATCAGCAAAACAAAATATAAAATACAAAAACCCAGACTTGAATGAAATTGAAGGCTGAACAATAAACAAATTATAATATGGACGTGACGTTGGACGGATGCCCAGAGGAGTCTGAAAAACATGACAGGTATAGCCTACTATTTCGAAAAAAATGTGTCCCAACCCGCTGTTTGGGTCGTTTTCCTAGCTCTAGCTCTGCTCTGGAGCTCCGACGCCTTCGGCATCGGGCTCGGAGCTCCAGCTGGCGTTACGTAGAGAGAGAGAGTGGCCTGGCCTGGTACCAGAGAGATGCGATTTTCTAATTTTGGGAGAACTCACCTCGGACATCGTAATAGATAATGGGACTGATCCAGCAATGTAGCAGCCGATCAACATCGCTAGCGAAAGGAGGATGATACCCCATGATTCTGTTTCTCCTTTATCTTCGTCCATCATGTTATTCGAATTTACAATAAAACTGTAAAGTGAGCGGGATCGGGAGTACGACGAGTGTGGAATGGGGCCTTGACTCCGTTTCTTACCGTCCGCTTTATGTGCAGCTGTTTGATTTTGTTCATGTATTGTGTACGAATCATGTACAATACGCGATTGTGTGTGCGTGGCTGCGTAGCTGTCACTCCAAGCTAGTCTGAATACAAGAGCATTCTTTTATTCTCAAGGTTGATTATAGTTATCATATCTATTATTTCATTTTAATGCATTATTTGGTATATTAAATTCATAAAACAATGCTATACGAATGTTACGATACTGACAAACATTAGTTGAATAAATACGTAGACTAAAATTAAAACCAGTTTGATGAAATAAGACTAATTTAAACTGACTATGTCAAGCGAACTGGGTCAATTTCAAACAAAAAATACATGTATTGAGACCTTGATTGAGACCCTTCAGTTTAATATAACCCTAGCTCCTAAATACCACCTAGATCTCCATGTAAAATAACAATCGTTAAATATTTAATATTTATGGAAGTCGTGATGAAAGTAAAGAGGGGAAAACACACAGCAAGAATTCCTAGTATTCACTTTCTAATGAAACTATACTCGCTCTATTATTGGATTAACATATCAAACCCAATGTTCATTATTGAGTCCATTGTTATTTGTAATATATATCAATGACTTCAGAAATTCCTCTGAAATAATGTCATTTATTCTCCTTGCAGACGACTTTAATATTTTCTGTTCACGTGACGTACCGTGACCCCTATCCCCTGAGAACATAGTAAACTTAATACAGAGGAGAGCATGGCAAACTTGTTGAATTTATTGTCATTGCTCATTATTGGTATATAGTAGTTTAAACTCTCATCTCCCTGGAAGTAGTAGTATTATTATCATTATAATTATCATCATTATTATTGTCATCATTATCATTATCATCGTCTTCAATATTATTCTTATTACTCTTATCACCATTACCATATCATCATCATCAATTTAATTAATCTCTCCTTTCTTTAAAAAAGAAATGTAATTAATAAACTGCATAGTAATTCGCATATATTATGATTGTTTCTGCATGTGATGTTATCATATCTTATCCTGTCATAGTTATCTTGAAAATGGAAGCAATAAAAAGAATCTTTATGATAAACAAAATCATTCATTCACAGATGTATGTGTGATTGCCTGTTGGTATTATTAGCTAGACCCAACTCCCTGTCATCTAAACTGCTTTTTTTTAAATAAATATTTTGTAAATGAATATCATTGTTGAACATTAATATTTGCACTATTCAACTGTATTTCTTCCATACCCCAGAAGGGGCCGTTAAAGAATTTTTTTTTAAATAATTGTCATTGTCGTTGCATTGCGTTGGAAAAAACCATTTACACGTTTTGCACTTCGTAGTTAATCAAATATCAACAATTAAATTGTTCATCCCAATATGGAGGATCTCCGGAAAGACCATTAATAATGGAGATGTTTTATCCTTTGTAATGTGCCATAATGATTGACAGTGGTAAGATTAGTAAGACTCTCATGCTGCTAGATTATGTGCTCGGTGTGAATAGGTGATTCTTTGTACATTATTTTGTGATTTTAGGGAGGTTATTCGATCGAAATGAGTCGCGAACAAGATTGTGTTGACCGTCTCGATGGTCGCAACCTTAATGGATCTCAAGCCAGCTGCCCAGTGGCAGTGCCCGCTACCTCCGGCGGAGTTAGCAGTGAGGTGTCCGGACATGCAAGAATGGTGCTGCGAGAAATGCATAGCTTGCAACAACATGGTCATCTGTGTGACGTCGTTCTTAGAGTAGACGGCCATAAAGTGAAAGCCCACAGAGCTGTATTGTCTGGATGTAGCCCATATTTCAAAGCCATGTTTACTGGAAATTTGTGTGAAAGTGAAAAAGAAGAAATCGATCTGAAATCGGTCGATAAAACTGCAATCAACGTGCTTGTAGATTTTGCCTACACTGGAAGAATTGCAGTTACCCATGCCAATGTCCAATCCCTCTTGCCAGCTGCCAATCTTTTTCAAATGCATTCTGTGAAAAAGCTGTGCTGCGAGTTCTTACAAGCTCAACTCCATGCCACGAATTGCCTTGGGATCACCCATTTCGCTGAAGTCCATGCATGCAGGGAACTTCAGGCCTTCGGGGACAAATTTATCGCTGCTCATTTTCAAGAACTCAGCCAGAGTGAAGAGTTTTGCCAACTGATCTTTGAAGAGTTGACTAAAATACTCTCGCGAGATGACCTCAATGTTTCCTCGGAAGAAGTCGTCTTCGATGCCCTGGATACCTGGTTGAATTACGATCCTAACAGACGACAGTGCTACCTGGGAAGAGCTCTCCAGTGCATTCGCTTGCCCCAACTCACCCACAAGACCTTAACAAAGTTATACGAGACCCACCCCTTTATCAAGGAGAATGATCTGTGCCAAGAACAGGTAAAGATGAATTGGATTTCCCTTCCAACTCCTTTCCTCGACAAATTAAAATAAGTCTAGACCCTATTCTTTAATTGAATAAAAGGGCATGTTGTGAGAATTTTGTGAAAGGATTACAGGACATGTAAATGAAGCAAATTATTTGTATTCACTTGATAGATTGATGGGTATCGAATGTAAATCTTTAATCTTGTAACCATTATGAAAAAAAAAGATTCCTTAAAATACCATCATAGTCATACTATGTGATCTACTTACATCATAGAATAGAATAGAATAGAATAGAATTTATTGACTCATTCAACCCCCTTCTGGGGTATGAGAGTACAACACATGTACATGTCATGATAATGGTACATAATAAAGAATACAAACATAGCTTAATAATACAAAGAATACAGAATACAACAAAAGAACAATATAAAAGTATAATGATAAATAGGAATGATCTAAACCTAGCCTATGCTAAACATAAACACAATATTATACAATATGACAAGCATGCATGAAAAGTGGAGAATACCACATGAACAATCTAAATACAAACATGAAGAAAAAGAAAGATAAAAACAAAAATAGGGTTTAGTTTAAAAATGTAGAATCATGTTGTTGTGATAATTTTATTAACTGAATGCTGTGTAATTCATTAAGCATAATGTCTTTAACTTGATGCTTTTTTGTTGTTTACTGTTTGTAAACTGTAGGTGAACAAAGCACTGCAATACCACCTCAACACAGAGGACCGCCTTTCATTGGCCAAAAAGATGAAAGACAAGTTGAAGAGAAGAGGAGAGTTAGAGATGTTTTGTGCTGTAGGAGGCAAGAATGGCTTATTTGCAACTCTTGACAGGTAAATCAGGATGAACTTTCCCCTAAGCAGACAGACTCATATTTGCATTAAGATGGAATGTTTGTTTGAAAAGTTTGAATGCTGAAAGACTAATTTTTTTTGCAAAAGACCTCAAATGATTGTTCTAGAACACTGGCTTCAAATTCTGTTTGGTCAGAATTGTGTATTTGTTAGGCTTTCAAGGCACACTTTGCTGAATATACCTTCTCCTTATATTAGGAAATCCTTTTTTTGTGCTCTTTCAGGTGCAGACCTTTGGAGCTGCAGGAAGGTATGAAACCTGTGCATATGTTTTAAATTAAGCAGTTTAGCTTAGGCACCATGGATTTTTAAGAAAAGCGTGCATCAATTCGATCAACAATCTTCTTACCCCTTTCCAGGAGTTAGCTTTGAGGGCAAAGGCCCGTTCCTCAAAACCGTCTATCCCTCAAAAATGTGTGTTATAGAATTAAGATGTGTTTTAATGAGATAGTCAAGAAGTTAGACTTATGACGGTTTTGAGGAGCGGACCCCTGGCCCTTTTAGCTAGCTCAATCCCAGATAGGGCAAAGACAATTGTGAAAGAGTCAAGGAGGATCTACTGCAAAGCCCTGTACCTCCGTATGATGTTTGTATTCTTTGCCATGCTACTTAAAAAGGAAATATATTTTATTTCATCTTTCCCATTTTGTTTCTCCCTGCTTGTCCAGTGTTGAAGTTTACCGATCTGAGACTGATAGCTGGAGTGAGGTAGCCTCACTGAACTGCAGACTCCAGGAGTGCGCTGCTGCGGTCGTCAACCAGAATCTCTACGTCATCGGGGGAGTGCGTTGCCAACTCAGAAATGGGACCTCGTATCGCTGCTATGACAACGGCGTCGAAAGATGGCAACCAGACATTAACACATGGAGCACAGTAGCCAGCATGCACATGTGTCGTAGTAACCATGGCGTAGCGGTGCTCAACGGGAAGATCTACGCCCTTGGGGGATATAATGGAGAGTCTTACATGAAGAATGTAGAGGTGTACTGTCGGAAGAGCAACCAGTGGAAAATGGCCACACCTATGCTTGAGCGTAGGAGTATCTTCACCACAGCGGTCGTTGATGGCAAGATCTATGCCATTGGTGGATATGGGCCTAATTATCTTAACAGGTAAGATGTCATACCAGTAGGTTGTAAGAGTAAGAGTGCAGATGACCTGATGAAATTTGAAATAACCCCACAGGCAAATACTCAATCAACAGATTACACATCTCCCCTGCTTTTGGAGCCGTCCTTCCTTTTTCTGAAGGTGTTTCAGCTGAAAAATTGAAAGTTTAGCAACGATGCAATATATGGTACCTGTATACAGATAGCTTCGATCAAAGCAACACAAAACGTTTCACAATGTATGTATTAAAAGATGAAGTTGAGTTCTGGTCATGTGATTGCATTGTGAAAGAAACGGTGTGGAATCGATCAGAAAAGGTTGCTCATCTAGCATATAAGTATTTGTGTGTATTGCAAGGTTCTGGAGTCATCAAAATGATAAGAAATTTGGCCAAGTCTTGGTAAAATTACAAGCACTGTACACAGAAAGATGTATATGGGACTACACAAACACGTGGCGTAAAAATCCATCCCGATTTTTACGATGTTACATGCCATATTTAGAATATGAAGGCATTTGAAGAGCCATGCTTTTCAGGGAACATGTTTTATCTGATGTTCTTCCACACTTGCATAATAACAATGATAACACTCACAAATAATTTTTCACCTCTTCCCAGAACTCAACCTTCTCTTTAATGCTTTATTTAGCTAATATCTAGATAATGCTTAAATTATATTTTAAGTTTTGATAATAAACTTGTGCCTACATGAACATTATATTGACATGTGCGAGCCTTCTTTGTGTTTCTCGTCTAGTATGGAGAGATATGATCCAGACAAAGACTTCTGGGAGAAGGTGGCCCCTCTCACTGACCGTCGGATTAACTTTGGGGTTGCTGTTCTCCACGGGTTCATCTATGTTGTAGGAGGCCACAACGGGGAGCAGTATCTAAGCAGTGTAGAGCGGTATGACACGCACCAGGATACCTGGAAGACAGTCGCCTCTATGGGCATACCAAGGACAGGTTTGTAGAAGGTTTTTTTAAATCGAAAAAGAGAATATGTGACTTACAGTTGATACCATGTTGTTACTTTCAAAAGGAAAAAGAAACCTGAAAAGGGCTGAACTTTGGAGCTGTTTTTCTTAGCGTTTCACTAAGCAATTGTTTTTTTTATACTAATCAGTAGAATTGTCCTCTTCCGTTAACACTCATGATGGGGCTGACTTGTAATTTGGGAATCAGAGTTCATAATGATGCTTAGATTTTTAATGAAACTCCTATGGGATTCCTATTTAGTTATACATCATATCACCAGAAACTTTTTATCTTAGTCTTATCCTCATGCAGCTGCTGAATGTGCACTTGAAAAGAATTAATGACCAAATTGAAGTAATTTGTGTTTTCCTTTTTTTTTTCATCTCCTGAAAATTGTTTTAATTTATTTTTTGTCTTCCCGTCCAAAACACTTGGACTTAATCAATGCCAAATGTGACTGTTAAACTAGGCTTCCGTAGTCCTTTTAGCTTAAGTAGCATACTGTGCATTTCTTTATCTACATCCCTAGATATAGCTTCTAGGAGCTGCTGAGAGGAATGATCATTTCAAGGTTTATTCTTTCAAGGACTGTTGCCCAACTTTCATCATAGAAAGTCAGTTTCAAAGAGATGATTGGGACTACAAAACGAGGAGTAGCATGGAATGCAAACGTACTTAAGCTTTTCATCTCATACTCATTAGAGTAAAGTGCAAGAATGAACCGAAAGCCAAAATCAGACAATATAATAGGAAGCTAAAAGAATAAAACACATGAAACACACCAACTATGAACACTCTTTGTTTGATACGCCACTGCAAATCTTGTGCACTATTAGTTCCTGTAGCTTCGGTTTAAATTGTCAAATTTTGGCTCTTTGTTCATTCTTGCGATAAACTCTGAGTGCAAGACGAAAATCTTTACTATGTCTGTATTCAAAGTCAGTTTTGATTGTTATTAAATTAGATATCTATATCTATATCTTACGTTTTCTATGAAAAGGGTTTGTATTTTGAGTTTCATTAAACTGGATCTCTCTTTCTACCAAATCACACTTCGCAGGTCTTGGAGTGACCGTTATGGGTGGACACATCTATGCTGCAGGTGGTCACTCTGGAGCGGCCTATCTTGACCGGGTGGAGAAGTATGACCCCTTCACGGACACCTGGACCCTGGCCAAGACAATGCTGAATTGCAGGTGTAACTTTGCCTTTGCTGCCTTGTAAGTCAAGAATCATACGAACCCATACCCTGTATGTCCTTTTACCACTGACCAACCTCTGCCTGTACATGTAATTCGGGAGACAGAAGGACACAAATGTCTTCGTTAAAGCCCCACCGCACTAGTTTGGCCAGGAGGGATTAGACCTCCCTGCAGGGTCACTGACAGGTTGTTATCTCATCAAATCAGCTCTCAATTAACATAAGAGAAAGAGGATCATGGGGGACCAATGATCACCGATAAGGCATTGTTTGCTTTATAGAGGGCGCAAGTGGCTATAAGTAGTGCAGTGGGGCTTTAAAGTCCCCACAGAAAAAGAGTTGAGACAAGGGTGTCTGAACAGGGCAATTGAATTCCATACTGGTGCTTATTGCACCTCGAATTTAAATTCTGTACGACAGTGGAAACAAGAAGGCATTCAAATCATAGGTTACTCCTTCAAAAGGACTTAAATCTTTGTGACTTCAAAAAAATCATCATCATTATTATGCATGGGACAGTCCCTTCTTTCCCCCTCTCAATAAGATTATTTGGACATCTCTGCATGAAACGGAAAACCCTCAATATACATGTAACTATGGTTGAAGGATGGTTTTATTTATCCTGCATAGGTCTACTAAAAGAAGATATAATTCAATAGTAGCTATCTGCGGACAATATTCATGTACGGGACATGGGTTCACTCTATTTCCATGACCTCAACAGCAATATCAATCATATATGTGCATATATATATATATATATATATATTATACATATATATATTAAAGGTATATATTCATGATGATTGAGTTGCCTGTATTTATGAATTTGAAGCAATAGTAATTAAACAGGAGACATAAGGGACTAGAACTAATCTTTATACTGATTATAGTATCAGACTATATTCATATTCACATTTTCTGACAAACTAGTATGTTAGAATGGATAGTCAATATCTGATATATTTTAGAGAAATATGAAATTATGAATAGGTACATGTATGTGTAGATTTCATTATGTTACATGTATGTTTTTGGTCAGTAAAATGAATTGTAGGTTTCAGAGAGTGTTGATGGTTTCTCTGTTGAATCATTTGTTTAACTGCACAAATTAACATGTAATCTGCAAACTGGCAGCTTAGGAGATAAACTGCGAGGGGACAACAACAAAAATCATAAATATTCATATCTGCATCCTGCCTGGTTGATTGATAGAAAAGTTATAAACTAAGCAAAGTTTAGTTAAATGTTAGTGTGCAAAATTGATTTCATCTCAGCGGTCAGATTATTAGTCTATCGGTATATTATGACCCCAGGGATTTACCAATTGGTAAATCTTGGTTATAAATACAAATTTCTTTCAATACAATTTCTGATAATTTTGAATACTTTTCTGGCAAAATTTTTCTTGTAATGTCATTATAATGATAATAATATAATAATTTGTAGACTTATAATACTAGGTAAATCACATTAAGTTTCAGAGGGGAGAAGTTTGCTCTAAGGGATCTTTTGAAAGAGGCAAGGCAGGATAATTCTCTGATAGAAAGTGGGATATCGCTCTATGATTTGAAGCAGCCATTGTAAATCTTTTTTTCGCTAGATGAGAGTCTAGATTTGGGAATAATTACTTTATCTATGTAAGTAGTTGAGTGAAGGTTAAGAGCTGTTGTGTACATTTGAAGGGTGTCTTTAAGATATCCAGGTGCCATATGAATTTTGAAGACACACATTGTAAGCAGACCTTAAACAGAATGCATTGTTGTAGAGGTAACCGTTGAAGTTCTTTGATCATGGGAGAAGTATGAGTCCGAGATCCAAGGCCAAAGACACATCTAGTGGCTCGATTCTGGGCAGTTTCACGTTTCTTTCTATCTTTTGCAGACAAGACAGTTTAAAGACTATTATAATAATCTAACCTAGCTAGAATGAAAGCATGAACAGCATGGTTACTAGTCTTAACATCATTCCTGCAGACTTCTATTTACCACTACATGTACACCTTTATGCAATCATTTCCATGGAATTGTTAGCTTTGTGTTGAGTAGGAGAGGAAATTCAGCCGTAAGAATTGTCAGAATTGCAAAATGTTTTTTTAACTAGAAAGTATTGATTTCAGGTCAGATTTGTCTAACTAAAAGCTAAGCAGCTATGGAAAAATTGTGCAATTTGGTTGCCAAATCACCATATTTGCCATCACAAATCTTGTGATTATATTGTCTTTGTGTCTGACAAGTAATACTTTAAAAAAAAGTAACCTGTGCCATAAAACCTCCTTAATTCTATTTGGTTGACTGAAAATAAAACTAATTTTTATTTCCATATTACTCTATTCAGTATGATATTCATCTATTGACTATGTTTTGTAAATTTCTTTGTTTAATTTTATTTCATGCTGGTATAAAGTTAATCCTGCATTATACAATTTAATTGATTAGACTCACTATGAGTATATTGTGCAATTTTAAGACTTTGATTATTGTGTTTGTATGATTGCAAATACTGTCGAGTCAAAACAGAGTTTCTTAAGAGAGAAGGATTGTTTTTGTTGTTGTTGTCTTTGAAAGAAAGTAAATGATCCAGGAGTACAAGGCTACAGGCAGAGAACGTATATGTATAATTTTTGAAGAAAGGTTAATTTGTAATAGCACGTTTTAGCACAGATGTATACATTATTTGATCACTTTGCTTAATTGTAGGTTTTATACACATATTTGAAGTGAATGCATGTTGATAAATGCATGACCATTTGATTTTAAAACTCAAATTCTGGTATTAGAATATTTCTAATATCTACATCTACATTATTTTTGTATTACTGGACATTGATATTCTTGATAGCAATCATCATTATATTCCTTTAATCTTTCATAAGTCATTATGCATGTAACTAGAAGATCTATGTGTTGCATCAAATATTAAGCCCAACATAGCCATGAGGAAACCCATTTGTAATCCAGGGTGCATGTTACTATCATTTCTAAGGGGTTTAAATTAAGATTATTTTCAATTCAGTTGTATATTTTGAAGGTGCACTCTAATCACTTATCTTACCATTTATTTGATGAGTGATTTGGTCAAGGAAAAGTCATCTATATCTCTTTTGAATTTCTTTTAAAAGAAACATTATACTAGCAAATTTGTATGATATGGAAGATCGTTGAAGAGTTCATTACTTTCATGACGTTCACAAGTCGACATGTGTTTTTAGTGCTCTATATTTTACATCGTTTTGGCATTAGATTTTTTTCACTTTTATGCAAAAAAGATGATTATTTCATGTTTGCTATCAGTATTGCTTTCCTTGTGCTTTTTACTAAAAATTACTTTTGTTGGACCAAAACATGGAACATAATTCTATCTTTGTTAATCTCTGTCATGTACACTGTGCAGTATTATATTTATATAGTTTGCATGCTTGAAGCACGACTTTATCATTCCATTTTTAGATGACATGCATTAGGGCATTATCTCCCTGCATTACAATTTACTATTATTTGATTGAAAATTGTCGTCTTAGTTTATTTTCATTGTTTGACCCCTTGGACATGCCATTTATTAGCAAGTATGCCATTTATTCTTGGTGCATGTTGTTTTATACTTTGTGTTTAAAAAATAAAAGGTGGGCAGACATTTTTAATGCATTAGTAACTCAAAAGATGAAACAGCTTTCAACATAGAACCTACACATTTTACAGTGTATTTTTAAACACTTCTTTAATATACGTATAGGTTCTGTTTCCTTTACTAACATATATATTAACACACTCTGTTGAGTGATTTGTTGTAGGGCAATATCAGAAAAAATCTGTCTGAACTGTGCTTGCCTCAAAGCCAAATGTTAGAGTGTGAAAATGTCTCAGCCGTTAAATTATATTTGCCATAAATCTTCAGAAAATTTATATTTAAAAAGTGATTTACATAATTAACACTTGTTTGGACTTCATGTGTTTATCATGAATTGATGATAGGCTGCCTTCTTGAATATTTTGTATGATGAATTCACTGAGACACTTCAAGGGTAGTAAAATACAACTCGATACATGTACACTTGTATTATAATTATACACCATGTATGTCTAAAAATGAATAGTATACTTCATGAGGTTTAAATTTGTTTATTGAACATGTTCATAAGAAAATAGACAAGAAAATTATGAAGTATCATTATTGATAAACTATTTTATGTAATTGCATGGATTTCCCTTAGCATCAGATGTTTTTCATTTTTATTACTCTTCTAAGTTTGATTTTGTAATGCGTGTTATACTTGAGATACATGAGGATTTTATCCTGTTTCACAAGAAGACACAATTTGTCCCAAACAACAATTTGGATACATAGGGACATGTTATCAGGAATATTTCTTTTGCATCTATCGAAAGGTCGTGGCTTCTTAATGCAATTTTTGAATTTTAAACAGATATTAAACATTTTAATGTCCAAATTCGAAGAATTTGGCAAGTCTGAACTTGTTTTTTTTTATATTGCTGTTAATTATTTTATGTCTGATCTTCCATTGTATCATTTCACTGAAGTTTCAGTTCAAATTTAAATCATTATGTATAGCTGTATACTACATCTTATTTCATTGCAATCCATGAGTTATATATATTTTTGCAATATATCACATAATATTTGTTTATACATGTATAATATGTGAAGGAGTGTTTCATGTAGTTTTCAATATGAATACCACTTTCATTTCTTGCGGTATGTTTTGCTTGCTAGCGATATGTAATGTTACTTTTCATCAATGTAGGCGTAGAACTTTTTATGAAACAAGTTCTGGAGGTTTGTAATTGAATACTCATCATTTTAATCAAGAAAGGCAGTACATGTAGATGCTTATAATTCTACATCTTTAGTAATATTGTTGTTACTGAACTTTTAGATGCCCTGTGTATACTGTTTGTGTATGGGGAAACTGTTATGTGCCTTCAAATGTCAAATTTATTGTGTTTATTGTATTTTTATGGAATTTTGGGTAGATGAATAGAAAAGAATAGCAATGAGCAAGAAATTTTCAAAGGCAGAAGTAGAAGACAAACAGGTCATGTATTTTTGTATTGATGGAACGTGATATGCATTGTATGAGTCCTCTGGCTTGCTTAGAGTTTGTTAGAAATACTACCCTTTTGGAAAGTTAACAAATAATAATAGTGATGATGATAATTTAGATGAGTTGTTTATTATATCTCTTTTGGGATTATTGGTGATAAAGTA